TACATAGACATACAGGTATCCTGCCAGGTATAGAATTTAGAGAAATATTTTCAGAAGCAAAACATAATGTCTTGAATTACTCTAAAAGGTTTTAATGGTCTTAAAATCCATTTCTTTCCCCTTCTCTCTCCATCCGATTACTTTTATTAACATTTTTCTCCTCTTATTCACCTTTTGGTTCTCTCTCATTTCCTAAACCTTCTAATGGAAGACATTTAATTGAATAAATACGTTAGAAACAAGGGGATAAAGGCTTGATGAAATAATACAGAAGGCTTTGTGAAGTGGTGCAGATAAATGTTGAATGAGGACGATGACTAAGTGGTCACATAATGTAACAATTGTTATTTATTATGAAGGTCAGCCTCATGGACAGTCTATTATTTGTTACACTACAGCAAGAGAAACAGTAATTTTCTCCTCCATTCTTTCCTACTTCCCAATATCAATTTATTTCTTAATAGAAACATTTTACTCACCCCCTTGTGGCTACTAGCTCGGTTGATGGGGCCAACCACCTTCAGGTGGAAGGCAGGATTCAGATGGCCATTTTTCCCTTTATCTGCTGATGCCTTTGTCCTAAACAGAGAAATGAGGACAGACAGAAAAATAAAGAGGGGGCCGGCGCCTGTATACTATCCTGCCTCATTGCTCATATCAATCTGTCATGACCCCAGGTGGAAAAAAAAGACACAGAAGGAAGTGGACAAGGATTTTCAATCAGAATGATGCGGGAGGAAAAACTGGAGAAAAGAGAAAAGACAAATCTTTCAGCCCAGAGTCTGGGGAGCTCATCTTAGATGGGGGGTATCCAGTTGAATTGAATGGTCTGGCGCCCAGTATTGTCAAGCTTACTTTCATGTGACATTACATGCTGTTTAAACTGATAACGTTAGTTAGAATGGCATTCGTTGTCCTTTTGAATGACAAAAAACTGCCTTAATATTGCTTCAACATACTTGAGTCAGTGTTTTTGCAAAGCCGACATATCATTACAAAGGAGCAAAAGCAACACAAATACGTCTGCATTAAGGGGGATTGACTTTTGAGGATGAGAGGATCAACATCAATCTTTGATATTCAGTATGGAGCCAAAGAACATTGTGATAAGCAAAGTTTTGACACAAAGCAGAGGGAGACAACCGCAAACAAGTGACACATGGGACTTATCTATTTACCATTTCACAGAGCTGTGGGAATCACAACTAAAGCTCTTAACTATAAGAGGATATCTCTGTAACAAGCACTGCTGTTTTGTGTTGATTTCTGTTGTGTAAGTTCAATACGAGTTACAAGATACCCAAGTAAGGAAGTTTGAGAGCTTTGTTTCCCACAAGATGCTGAAAATGTAACAACAGATGTGTGTTTCTTTTCATTATCACCATATGCCATTTTTCTGCTGTTCCAAATGAACAATATGCATGCAATTAAAATGCTATTATTCTCAGAACAGTAGCTTTGAATGACACTGATCTATATTTGCTCTTTTATTGGTCCTAAAGGGGCTGGAAATAACCCAGGTGTATAATAACATAGTGTATTGATCCTTTGTGCTGTGTACACAAATGAGACAAGAGAAACAAAGAAGATGAATGTAGAGCTGTAATATCGTAATAAGGTGGGTGTTGTACTTCCTAAACTGATAAGTTCTGGCGTGACCACTCAGTGTATGTACAGTATGTACTGGTTCACGCAGATCTATTTATAAATATGCTTAGACACGCTAAAAATCAGTAGGAGCCACTTGGTGTACTTCTACTGAACTTTACATGAACCTGAAATACTGGCCATGGAGCTAAACTTGAAAAAGCAAAAGGCTTTTTTCTGCCGCTGGTCCATGGCCAGTATGTCTTTTGGATGATTTTAGTGGTGCAAATTTTCCATATCATTGGCCACTCATTCAGTCGTGTCCTACACAAAATCGTGCCGAGGCCTAACACCAACAGTTGTAGCCTCTCTCTCTGTCTTCATTTGCAAAGTTTTAGGATGTTTCAAAACCTGCTGTGATCCTGGATCCTCTCCAGACAGATTTGTGTTCAACAAATCACGGTTGAAGACAGGAACATTTGTAGAAGTACTAACTCTGCCAGAGTTTATGTGAGGCATGTGGAAGTGCTCCTAAAATAATGTCAGAGGTTAATGAGGATATGGATTTTGTGTGATTCTGATTAAAGGTAGCCTAAACATAAAGTGCGGCCATTTAAGCTTTTATATACCGAAGGTTCTGGTGTATGGACTGTACTGCTTTAAATGCTGGAAGACCATAATTTCATTCCAAAGCTTTTCCCCCCCTATTATATATTTAATTAACCCACCCTAAATAGAAGATACATTTATTTAAAACAGAAAAAAGAATTGATTTCTTGGTTCCATTTACACATTCTATACCTGCTAAATCCTATTCAGATTACAGAGGGACTGGGGTCTGTATGAGCTACCTATGGGTGATAAGTTGTTTAATTAAATTGGGATGAGAAGAGAATATACTAAAAGTTTTCTAGAAGCTATAACTTTAATGTGAACACATGTATCAAAGCTTTACTTAACACATACACAGCCAAGGAGCAAATGCTGTCATTTGTCTCTGTCTTTTCCTTAAAGACATGTTTCCCTCACCTCCCTGAGACTCTAAAATGAATTAAACAGGTCTAGGAAATGGATGCTCCGTGTGGGCGTCCCGGACAAAGAGCAGTGTGTCAGCAGACAAACGGGGAGACAAACAGGAAGGGGACAGTACTTGTTACTCTTGTTCTTCTCTCTCTGCAGAAGCCACTTGTGCAAGTAGGATGTTTTGACTCTGTAGCAGTAGAAGAGCAATAACACCGTAGGCAGGATGACCAGGAAGGCAAACAGCAGCCCTGCAACCAGACCCACTTGACCTGTGGACACACATATACAAATGCTCAGCATTTATGGAACTCCTGCTATGATACACGGAAATTGTGCAGTTTCTCTGAAATTTTTTAATCTGAATAATTCAATATCTTATTTAGCCTTTCTCCATTAAAGATCAATGCTGATGTACGCATGAGGTTTTAGTTTTGTGAGTCTATGTGAGTCACTTGGATGGATTCAGAGTGTGTGGGACAGGGGTGTATGTACTCACTGTCATACTGCACAGGTCCACTGTCCACACTGCCGCCCAGGCCTGGTTTCTCACAAAAGGGAGGAGCCCAGCCTCGATTACAGTGACAGTTCCCATTGCTGTTGCACACCTACAGACCGACACCAGAAAAGCCTTTGTTATTTGTGATTTGCTCTTCAGATTCCATTCAATCTATGTGTTTCTGTCGAATGGTGTACTATGCACATTAAAGACATAAAAGCCTTGTTTCCAAATAACTTGAAGGGTTTTCATTATTAATAAGATATTTACCCGGATAAATTATACAAAAAGAATATAATGCAGATACCCAGACAAAATACAAAAATCTAATACAAGCTCAATGTTCCATTTTTTTGTTCTTAAATCCATCCATCCATCCATCCATTATCAATGCCGCTTATTCCCTGATGGGGTCGCGGGGGGAACTGGAGCCTATCCCAGTGGTCAACGGGCGAGAGGCAGGGTACACCCTGGACAGTCCGCCAGTCCATCGCAGGGCCACACAGAGACACACAAGGACATACAACCACTCACACTCACATTCACTCCTAAGGGCAATTTCCCCAATCTCCAATCAGCCTAACATGCAGGTTTTTGGACTGTGGGAGGAAGCCGGAGAACCCGGAGAGAACCCACGCAGACACAGGGAGAACATGCAAACTCCACCCAGAAGGGCCCTGGTTCCCCCGGGATTCGAACCCAGAACCCTCTTGCTGGGAGGCGACAGTGCTAACCACCACACCACCGTGCCGCCCTGTTCTTAAATCATCTATGATAATTAATTACTAAACTCAGTAAGTTGCCATAGAGGGAGTTTTTAGGTAAATATGAAAGGACAGCAGTCTTCTGCAGAAAAATCTATTAATATTTTATTTTGGGTGTATGGCAAAAATGTTCTGGTATACAAAAACATTTAGTCTGGATACCTTCTAAAATTCTTTGTGTTGCATTGTTGCATTTAAGATAGCCATGTCTGAATTCTCAGAATTTATATTTCCTTATTCTCCGCCACCAGAACATAGTGAGATTTTGGAATTACTGTTGGCAAAATATGAATATTTGCAACTCCTGATACTTTCGTTGGCCACAGGCACATCAACATAAGGCCTGTATTATTAGATATTAACTAAAAAATATTTCCAATTAGACAATGTCACTATTTAGTCATTTCTCCACTTGTATTTGTATAAACACTTTATATTACATCCCTTAACAAGCTGTAATATAAAGTGTTTATACAAATTTAAGTGGAGAAATTCCTCAATAGTGACATTTACCTCACAGCAATAGGATTCTTGGTCTGAATCCCTATGGAACTGTATGGCGCTTAGATGTTCTCCCGATGCATGCATGTGTTATATCCAGGTTCATCCCACAGTTAAGAAACATGCATATTTAAATTGCCTACAGGCAATTTGGAATGTGTGTGTGCTTTTTCATCTCTATTTGTCCCTGTGATGGACTGGTGATTCGTCCAAGGTGTCTGGTCCAATAACAGGGATAGACTCTGACCCTTGTTAAAAAATAGATCCGTATATTGACATTTAACTGGATTGAAATATAGAGGTATCTTATAACATGAATCTAATTCAGAATTCCTGAAATGAAAGAAAAAAGAACTACAGTCTCCATCTGTATCAAGATGGTCTTTTGTTATCAGCAATCAGCACACATTTCCCCTATCAGCACTCGGTGGACATGAAGGAAGCCCAGCTGTGTGAGGATCCTCCTCGCTGCTTTGTTTCACATTCTGAGACCTGGCGTGATTTGTTGGCAAATGTTTCTCAACTTGGGGCCTATTTGCATAATGGACAAGAAAAAAGAAGTGTGCATATCAATTCAAGTGATTCAAAGATATCAGCATTGATCTAAGTGTAACAATCATCCATTGTTGTGGTCTCGTATGTTTTATACAGGTTGACTGAAAATGTTTGCAAGGGGTACACCAATGGTTTACTCAGAGGCCAGATGTACTCTTGTGACTTTTTAGAGTTCTTTTGCATGAATATGCATCAATATGAATAAAAAACCCAGAGCTATTTAGAATAATCCTGACTTAAAGCCATTTCCATTATCAATCTTTTTCTCTGAACAAAAAGGGTGACACGCCGCATAAAACAACATAGTGCCGAGAGAAAGGATTCCAGAAGAAAAGGATATCTATTGCTCATGATATTTTAAAAGCTTGTAAAAAGCAGTGCTTGGGCTGTGGTAAACCCATACATTTTACAGTAGATGAGGCAAACAGACTTTAAAGACGGTAGTGTAAGATTTCAGCTGGAGCAAAACTTGCTTCAGATGCTCAGGGTCAAAACAATCTAAAGAGAGGTTGCAAACACAAACCAGGCCATGCAACTGAAGTTAGACTCAGACTGTTAGGGGGCAAACCGCCTCCAGTAAAAAAATTCTAAGCTTTTGAAATTGTCACTGAAAACCTTGAAAGTGACGATTTGCTGATGGGTTACATTTGAAAGTGGGCGAAAACTTTTTTTCACACACTGTATCAAGATGAGTGGTTTATTTAAACAAATCACACGCTGATGCATGAACAATTGATAAAATGATGTAAGTATAGCTATAGAGACACATTTAAAATAACACTGGATCAATAAAATATTGAACTCACCACTAACACTCAGAACACATCAACCCATTGTTAGCAGTCTCTGAATATTTGTAGCACATTTTCCACCCCTACACTTTTGAAAGGACAGTCTATCTATCTATGAGTGGCCTCACTGAAAGTTAGGAATCAAACCTTTGACCTCCCTCTTAGACTAAGCAGAATTTTGGCTGTTTGTTTAAACAATGAGAATGTGTGAAACTGAATCAATGTTGTGAAACTTGACGTCAATCTGGCAATGCAGAGGGTCAAGTAAATGCAATACCGCAAGACTACATATGTTTATTTATAACACACTGTGAATTCATTCTTTTCAAGAGCCAGAATCGTAGTTTGGAGCCTCAGGGCTATGCGCTTCTTTAGAAAAATGAATACAGTCGGTGAATGTTATAGTGAAAGCTAATATAACTAGTGAAGCTAAGTATCTAAATTGTGAAACACGTATTGACAGATGATGCTGGCTTTCCGACCAGTGTTGACATTGTCCTGATCCATTTCTTTCTTATGATTTTGGGACATTGTTCTACTTGATAATTGCATTAAATCATAAGTTTCATTGGTCGATTGGTTTTAAACCCATTTGTCCCTCATATGAATAACTCAGAATGTGCAGCCGTTTACTAAGATGTCTTGTGTGAGATTTTGCAGCTCATTTTGAATAGTCAAATTTAGACTTGCAAAAACCACAAAAGCTTCTGCAACTTTGTCAATAAGTTTGTCACCTGAAAACAAGTATGTGATTGCCCCCGAAAATGGACTGTATTAAAACAGCAAGGTTCTGTTTCACTGAAATGGGGATCCCCCCGGAAATAACTCAGCATGACACCTGCCATAGCACCAGAATTTAGTTATATTTTCTGCAGTGCCTCATCCCATTTGTCTGCAGTTGTGAGAAAATAACAATATTTACAAGTATTAACGAGTGGTTGGGTATCCAGTGATGGACCCTGCTGCCAACGTTGCCCTAAAACCTGCTACTAAAAAAAGAAAAAAAAGAAAAAATGCCCTAAAACCTGCTACTAATAAAAAGGATAAAAAAAGAAAAATCGCCCTAAAACCTGCTACTCTTACCATGCTGAGCTTACGTTTTTCAGTTTCAGCTTAAACTCTCAAATGCTCATATCAGATAATATTAACGGAGATGCTTTCTCTTTACATGACAGTTTGCATAACTCAGTGAAATAAAAAAAATCTAATATTTTCTCTTTCTATTTACTATACAAGCAAATACACAGGGCACACAGTGTATTCCAGGTGCAGGTGCTGGTCATAAGTATCAGAGTTTAAACATAAAAATATGAATAGAATTCAAAATGTATTTCTATCTCAACAAATACTTACAATACTTACAAAATACTAACTTGATGGATGTTGTGGATTTTATTTAGTCATTCATATTGAATATTTTCTTCCTCAATAAATCAGGGTCCCTGAATCGCAAATCTTTTGTGAGTTTTAAACAAGATGCAATTCAAATAATATCAGGAGAGGTCAAATTCCACCACCTGAATTCCTTCACAAATCAAGCCTTCTGCTGTGTTGAAGTAATGATCGTCGCTTCACTCTGAAGCCCGGTCACTGACTCATAAACTGTGGATGGTTTCTCCTTATCTGCCTCAGGCGGGCTTGTACTGCTTCAGTGAATAGTTCATCACCTCGGTTGCTGTTGTATTCCAGCCATCTATTTTCCCGCCTTAACAACATACTTGGTGACAGCGTTGCAAGTGCTACATTTGCCCAAGGACACAATATGACGACAAAATTAGGGCGCTGTGTCCAGCAGTTACTGTAAGTGAATTAAGTCTGTTGCATGACTGAATTGAATTGATTGAATATACTTTATTGATCTCCAGGGAGAAATTGACTAAACGGTTGTCTCTGTTCTCATTACTCTGTAGATAATTCAGAAGCCATATGTTCCATTTAACCTGAGTAGTGTTGTGATTGGATGTTACCATTGCAGAGTTAAAGAACATAGGGACACGGTGTCCCTATGTGAGTGTGTGTGTCTGTACCCCATTGCTGTGACACCGGGCGATGCACGTCTCCAGCTCGGTAAAAGACGCATTCTGGCATCTGCGGTCTCTGCACACCTGCAGGAGCAAATGCAAAAAGATCACAAGTCATGGTTAAAATGACAGTGCAGGCTCATACACATGAAGAGAGTCCGCCCCACGTTCTACTAGCAACCTCCGACTTTACTGGTACCCGAAGAGTTAAAGCGAAAAAAAATCAGCTTATCTGGTTAGTTACCTTCCAAAGCTCCCAGCTTTTCAAATTTGTGGAGATATTTATTGTAACTTCTTTATTCTATAATTAGTTGGGAAAGAGTGAGATTTGTTAAAGGATCCCTAGTGGAAAAGGGCCCTTTTTATTAATGATCTTTCAGTATTAGAAAGCACAAAGAGTCAATGTAAAAGATTAGTTGTAATATTTGGGGCCAAGTTCCTATCACTAGTGTTCGAGCAAATTTAAGTTGCAAGCCAAAGGCCTGAATTTAATTTAACCGACTCACAGACAATCAAGTGTAAGGGAAAAAAACAAAACAAGTGTTAAGCTAATAGGTGCACTTGTTCCACATCATTGACATGAGGATGACTAAAACAAGTGAGAACTTCTGCCAACTCACCTCAAAAGTTAAATAGGTCTTTTTGGTGGTTAAAGCTGTTAAATAAGTAACACACCACCTTCCATCATGAGTGGTGTTCATCTAAAAACTATCATCTGCATTTGTCATGTAACCTCTGTGGTTTCTATGTAATTTCATTTCAGGATAATCAATTAAGAATGGATACATTTGTAATTCAAAGAAAGAAGGTTTGTGTTTCCATAAAGCTATCATAGTGCATCAGATGAGAATAGACCTGTTTGGTATGATGACTTGAATTTGTCATGCTCCCTGCTGCTTATTCATTATAAATAACTTGTGCAGCCATTTTCAAATCTTTGAGCATGGCCAATGCAATAATTGAAATGGAATCTGTGTCTCTGATACAGAGATAAATTAATTTAAAAAATACTCTGAAATGCAATTTGCCTGGGCATTTTTACACATTTTATCCAAGTGCGATTCATCTTTGTATGGATCTTTGCACCAAAAGGAGTGTTTTGCTTAGAATTAATTTCATATTTTGCAACTGGAATCAAAGTTTTAGAAAAAATGTTGATTAGACAAACACCACACAGATCAGACCTCCTGGGTACCAGCATCTTTCAGTATTGAATGAAGTTGACTGACAGAAAGACCTGATTGTTTTTTTAAGTAGGAGTATATGAATTCCTAAATAGCCAGCAGTGACACTGACAACTGATTGTTGTTCTTAGTTTGAGTGTGCAAGTTCCTCTATAAAAATGAAGATGTGAAACGCCAGAGCCTGTGAGGAATTGAACAATAAAACAGTTTGCTATTAAGCTGCTGTGGGGGGAGTGTGCGTGGAGGAGGAGCCAGACGCGGAAACGCTACGCAAGGGACAGGGAAATAACAAGAATTTATTATAAACAAGCCAACAAAAAGGGCGGCTGGGCTGGAATACCAAAAACTATACTAAACATAGAAACAAAAAAAAAAAATTAAAAGGGCCAAATTGTTTAAAAAAAAAAAAAAAAGGGGGAAACAGGAGAAACGGTAGGGAGCACAAAAGTCGGAATAAGGGGCATGTGGCAGACAGGCAATGGATGAGGACCTGACTAAAAAAAAAGAACCAGGAGAACTTATATACAAGGAAAAGATTTTTGGATAAAGGTAGATGAGGACAGGAAGCAGTGGTGAAGGGAGTTGAGTTTATGACAACGATAGAAAAGTACCAAGGGGGGAAAAATAACTGTGTGTAAGTGAAGCTGAGAGAGACACAGAAGGAGGAGGCAGGAAAAGGCAGAGGGGGCACCATAACAATACAGAAGGTAACAGAAACTGAGAGAATATGAGGAGAGCTGACTGAAAGTCGAACAAAGAGGAAATGGCATGATGAAAAAGCAAGAAAAACTGAAAACTCAAGGAAAGACAGGAAACTAAACTTAGACACTAAACAAAACCACAGGGAAAAATCTAACTGGAAACAAAAACCACGAGTCAAGTGAACCGAATTCATGACAGACGCTGACTTCTCTCCTCAAATGATACTCTTAACATGATGCAGACAGTCCTGAGTGTAGCACACAAATACAACTGTGGACTGAAAAGCCAAATAATCAATCTGAAAAATCCAAACATCATACGATAGGCTGATTTAAAGTCGTCATTACTGGCACATCTGGCCAGCTGTGGCTCAGAAATGGAAGTTCTGACTATTTTGTACAACTCTTTTAAACTCCATCCTGGACCGTACCAACCTTGCCTTCTCCACATTTGGTGCCGGTCATGACGAGGCCGGGGTCGGGCAGGTCCCCCTGGCCGTCCTGGGTGCTGTAGACGTAGGTGCCCCGGCATTTCTCCTCCCGGCCCCCCGTCCTGATGGTGGTGTCGATGGAAACCGCGTTGGTGCCCTTGGGCTTTTTGGCAGCGCTGTGACATTGGATCTTTCCACATTTGGCATCACTGCGTCGAAAGTGAGAACATTTGTGTTTACCCCCAAAATAAACACAAATACTGTGCAGCCTATGCTGAGCAGCCGGTACCGGACTCAGACTGTAATGCTCATCTAAAGGTTGATGCACTCTAAATGAAACGTAAATAATAAATATCAAATTAACTTATGTGAGACTGAAATATTGATTGCGATAAATCCTAAATTATTTAAGTTTAATTTTGAGTTTGAGCAATACTTTTCCAGGCTTTGGGAGGCTTTTCATTTAAGATTAATATTTTTTCTTGTTATCTAATCCACTTCCCAATAACCATTGTCTCATACAAACATTTCAATTAAGTCAGTGTGTTGTCTACACACAACAGAAAGGAGCCAGTTTAATTGGAATCTTTATGGGCTTTGTTACCCATGATTTGTTCCCATTTCTTTAGTTGAGAAATGCTTGAGAGATAACACACTGAAAGAGCATGGACAGTATTTTTGTAGTAACAGGGGAATTCCTAAAGAGATATAATCTGGAATTGGAATACCTCCGCATGATGTCCTTAAACCTTAACTAACCCTCAATCGAAGGACATTAGAGAAGTAGTAGCTCTATAAAAAAAAAAAAAACTATCTACAGAAGATAAACATTATCTTTAAAGGTACTGTATTTAACCTGTAAAATATAATTTTGCAAGATATTACACAATATTCATAGTAGCCCCTCTAAAAAGCAAGTCTTTTTTTCCACATCCCTTTTTTGGTTTTACAATGTATGGAACATGTAAAACATGCAACTAACGAAAGTTTCTTAGGTCTATGTTGAAAAGACTAGCAGTCAAAATAAAAAATGCGTTGTGTATTTTAATGACATTTGTTGTCATTTGGAACAACAATAATTGAACAGAATCGAATTAAACTGAATTATTTTGTGGTAATTACAATGATTACAAATGGCATTATACCTCAAACATAAGACTGAATCTGTTAGAGAATGTTGGACAGAAGTTTGACATGCAGCCACTGATAGCTGGATTATGGATATGTTTTACATACATATCCATAATCCACCTGTTATATTAAGCCAAAAAAGGAATCTCTTCTTTTAGGAATCTGATATAGATTTTGGCGTAGAAGGCTCATACAAAGAAATCCTCAAACTAATTTACCTTGGCTTTAAGTGCATGGTGTTTGTTGGAACAAGCAGATAAATATTTTACCACAGATTAACCAAAGTATATCTGACATCTTTGTGAATATGTTTTTTTTTACAAACTTGTTTACCTGGCATAGACGTAAAACGAAATTGACATGGATCACAAGCTTGGACTTTCTCATGAATGGTGGTAAGTTAAATATCCTCAAAATATACTTTTTCATCTTATGTGAGGCACCAAAGTATTCTGTATGCTCTAACAGTTAAAGCCCGAAATGATAATCACCAGAATTATTAGTCAAGCAACAAGAACCCATGTATGACTGACCCTTTCTCCAGTTTTGTCGGATATCTCATCATTATCTGTTACGCTTAATATTCAAGAAATGAAAATAATCTGCTTCCAGTGCAAAATGCTGCTTTGTTGCAAGGTAGGAATCATCGGAGAAACTGTTTCACAACTTGATCTGTGCAAAGTATGAGTGATTAAAACTTGTTATGAAATAGGTGAATGTGATAAAGACACAAAAAAGTGTTCAATGAATATTTCAAAAGAACTTGAATTTTTACGGCTGTTCTTTAAGGGGAATCTGGCAATTCTCCCCAGTCTGTTCATTTTAAAGACAAAAAAAAAAGAACTCACCTTTGGTACTGACTATTTTTACAATTTACATTCCAATGAAGCACAATGTTATACTGCCCCTTACAGATATGTTCAAAGGAAAACATCTGTATTTAATATTTTTAGAGCATTACACTTTTCCCCAGCTCACTCAGTACTTGGAATGGAAAGAAATAAAAGTATCTTTGTTAGGTGATTCATTGTTACTTGTTGAGAGCTGTATTCTGTAAGGCAAGGCCAGGCAGGGCAAGTTTATTTGTATTGCACTTTTCGTGTACAACACAATTCAAAGTGTTTCACAATAGAAAGAATCAAAAGAATCAACAATTGAAAAAATTAGATGGATAAAAAGTGAAGGGTCCAGATAAAATACATCTGCACAGTTAAACAGAACCGTTTCCAGCCTTGATTTAAACATTGTCAGAGTTGGGGCCTGTCTTATGTCTTCAGGAAGACTGTTCCAGATTTTAGGAGTATGGAACTGAAAAGAAGCTTCACCTTGTTTAGTTCTGACTCTGGGCTCCAGCAGGAGACCAGAACCTGGTTCTCAGAGTCCAGCTGGTTCTTACGGCTCCATCATGTCAGAGATGGACTTTAGACAAAGAGGAGACTTGAACACAAGCAGAGCTGTTTTAAAGTCTATTCTCTGAGTGACAGGAAGCCAGAGCAGAGACCTGAGACCTGGACTGATATGGTCGTATTTCCTGGTTCTGGTCAGAATTCTAGCAGCAGCATTTTGGATGTTTTACAGCTGGATCACGGCTGATTTAGAGCCAGCTGTTACAGTAGTCTAACAAATGCATGGATCAGTCTTTCTAGGTCTGGTTTAGACTCTGTTCCTCTGATTCTGGCAATGTTTTTGAGATTGTCAAAGGCTGCTTATGTTATTGATTTAATGTGGCTTTTAAAGTTCAGGTCTGAGTCCAGTATTACCCCAAGATTCTTGACCTGATCTTTATGTTCCAGAGAAAGTGTCTGAAGAAAGACAATGATCTCAGTTTTGTCTGGGTTTCACTGGAGAGAGTTGTTCTGCATCCACAAACTGATCTGTTCAACACAACGACACAATAAATCTACGGGCCCGTGTTCTCCTGCTGTCAGTGACACATAGATCTGAGTGTCACCGGCATAGCTGTGGTTGGAAAGATCATGGCTGCGTATTAGCTGTTCCAATGGAAGCATGTACAGATTGAACAAAAGGGGTCCCAGGATTGAACCCTGGGGAACCCCACAGGTCAGACCCATTCGGTCTGAGACTGCAGGGAACCCCTTTTTGTGGATTTAAGTCTTTTTGGTCAAACAAATGCACATAGCTATAGTACTGATTGCAAAAGAATAACCTTTAGCTTGAAGATAATTCCTCCATTAGCCTTTCTTGAAGCCATATCAAATTACTATCGTATGGGATGCTATCAGCATATGAAGGGAGAATTGTTACTTACAATAAGACATAGCTGTGCAAGGAAACAACAGATTTTCAGAAGATAGTATCTTACGCATACTGGACAGGTAGAAATTAGGGTTAGACTGCCACTGCCATATTGTTTTGTTAAAACTTTTGATGAAGGTTTATTGCCTGCTTCATGTTGGTCTTGCAGTACTTTCAGAAATCCAGTCTGTGCTCAAAGGTCTTGGGCGCTGTAAGGGTACGCAACCTTCAGAAAAACATTTGGTACAACTGTTGAACTCGATGAAGAAAACAAACAAAAATGAATTGATTTGCTTAACAAAAAAAAAGAATACAAAAAGTATCCTTATTAACAACAATCCCACCCTACAGTACATAAGGAATATGAGACTTTAACTGGGTGATGTGATGTCTCAGTCTGCAAATGTTCTTACCTTTTGTCACACTTCTTGTAGTTGCCATGTTCATCTTTTCCACAGTTGCCAAACGCGTTCCCTGCAGCGTTGACGTCCTCAAAGCAAGCGTCATGGGCTGGTCGAGCTCCTAGACACACAGCGCTCCCCATCAGCCCTCTGAACTAAGAGCTTCATTTTTACTGTTACTGACTGTACTGCTTTAGCTGTGACATGTGTCAACAATCATTTTACGGAATAGTTCAGAGCAAAAACCGGAAACATGTTTCATCAAGTGGCTGTAGAAACAATCAACATTCATTACTGTCCTAAAAGACATCTTTTTCCATAGTGAAAAAGATACACACACACAGACCTAAGTTATCCTGAGCTAGGTGGTAAAGTGGTGAATGTGTGGAGTGTGCTGCATGGTAACAGTCTTACCGTAGCCCCAGAGTTGTAGGCACTGCTGTTCATGGGTGAGGCACATGCCATTGTAGCAGTAGGCCAGTCCATACTGGCAGGAGGAGCCATCCAGCAGGTAGACATTGGAGGGGCAGTAGGGGGAGGCACCTGTGCAGTACTCTGGAAGGTCACATGCCCCGGCCGGCCCCCTGCACATGGTCCCTGCCTGCTTTAACTGACACAGACAGCAGACAACCAGACAGAATTAGACAAAATACTCTGATGTGAGGAATCTCAAAGATAGGACCAAAATGACTATCTAGAAAAAGTCTAGTGCCACAGCACAAGAATCTGCTCCTCTGAATCAATTTTGTATTCTGATTCTGATGCTGAGACCCTGATGGATATGCCAAAGTCCTTTATGTTAACTGGGACTAAAAGAAATATAAACAAATATGATGTGTGGTCTCTGTTAGTATACACTATCTAATGCTACTACCTATAAGCCTGAGGTTTGTTTTTGCAGACTGATGCTGACCTCAGTCTTCTTCCTCTGTCCAAGACCAACTGTCCGTGTTAGCTTTAGCTTGACTGACATGGGGTGTTTTTGGATTATCGCATGAGCGATCTCCTCACCACATGTCCTCAGTTTGCATAGGGGTATGAGTAATGAGCAGTACAGATTCCGTTACAATGCTGCTACAAAACGAGGCAGTTCCTTTGATTGCCAGTTATTATGTCTGTGCTGCAAAAGCTTAATCGCCCCCTCCCAGGTGTGCAGAGATGAGACCAGAACAGTGCTTTTCACAAGCTCAATATCGTGACAATACTGTCAGTCACAATGGTGAGCAGATAGTTAAAAATAAAAACATAAGTCTTTCCATGGTGACATTAATTAAAATATCTGCTTTTAGGCCCACGGTTCACTCGTCTACAATTTGGTTTAGTTTTCAGAAGTCTTTCTTCTTAAGTTTTTATCTATGTGCTCCTGTTGGTCTCCAACTACTGAATGTTTTTCTGTTAGGTGTGAGGCTACTATACTGTATTTATCATTTCATTTTGTTTGAAGGCACCTGTATAATGATATTAATGACAACAGAATTTGTTGGCCTAAAACAATAATGTAGAGGGGCGTGGATAAGAGTTAATAAGAAATCATGTAGGTGTTTTCGATCTGACCTGCTTCTCTCACAGTACACACTCTTTTGAGCCACAGTTCATTTCAAATGTTTAATGCAGCTTTGATGGATATTAAAGACCAAGTAAAATCGAATTTGGAAAACGCAAGATACGATGGGAACTACAAAAGACTGAAATCTGGTGAACATCAAAATTCATTATCTATTTTCTCTGGTTTGTATTCTGTACTCCCACAGACAGAATGAAAGTGGAAATTGCATTTCTTCCACAGGCAGTGCACATGTTATCTTCAGTATTTCCTCTCCTCTGTCAGGTTAAAGCGCGCTAGAGTTTAGCCTCATAGTTCTGTGTGTTGCACCGGGATGTCAGGATTTCCATTTGAAATGTGAGATGTGAGCAGAGATGAAATGTGCTGGTGTGATGTGAAGGCGAAGAGCGAGCGGCACTGTGGCAGAAGCTGCCACGTGCCGGGGGTACAGTGTGTCTGGGCACTGACAGGAAGACTGACATTAAGCTAATCATACTGAGCCACCTCTGCAAGCATGTTGAGCTGCATTTCACACAGGTGCGTGTGTGTTGTGTGCGTCTCTTACCTTACAGGCCTCGCAGCACACTCCATGGGCACACTGAGCCCCTTCCCTCAGGGTACAGTTATTGGCATTGCAGCAGTCATTGGTGCATTCCTGTTGATGGTCACACACACACAAATAAATTATGTTAAAAACTCTGTTTCTACACTGAACATCCCAAGTAGATAGAAACGAGTTAATTTTTCTATTATTACATTGTGCAGGTTAACACATCATAACATTTGAGCAAAATCCATAAAAGACTTAATAATTAACTTTTTGGTTGGATATGCTTAACATTATCCAAGGTTGAGTGGTACCCTTTTGAGCTGCTGATGAATTAGGTAATCTACAATCCCTTAAAAGGTTTACTGTCACTGTCACTTCCATTCTCACTTTGAAATACCTTTGGTGCAAATTTTCTATGCAAAATTTGCTTCGCAGCCTTTATGAAGAACTTTAATAGAAAAGATCTCGCCATTTCAATAAAATCCTGTTTAAAACATTAAATGGAAAAATGAGGACCTCCAACTATGTCTTTTCTGTGATTTAATTAGAGGAGAATTATGAGTTGAGTCTTTGAGGTATTTTCAAGTACTATTCATCTGCAAAGGTTCATTGATGGCCTCTGTGACTGTTTGCTTCCAGCAAAAACAACTATAACCCTGTGTACATTGACCGTACATCGAAAAAAGACTCGGAGTTAAATAAAAATGAGAAAACTGTAGAAATCCTCAGCATGATATACCCATGGCCTCTTAAGAAAGCTTCGGGGTTTGCCCAGTTTCAAAGCTGAAAATCACTGGATTCATTGGGCATCAATTTAGTACTCAGTATAAGTCCACTGAACAATAAGAAAATCCTTAAGTGAATATTGCATGTGAAACTGAAAATAAGCCTTGTTCATTTTGTTAAAGTCATCTGTTGTTGATGCCAGCTTACAATCGAAGAACTAAATATTTTTATAATGTTGGTAAGTCATTAAAAAGGCTAACAGGTGAGCAGTTACACATGAAAAACGTGAAACCTAACATTGTGGTCCTAGTCCCTCTCCAGAGATCTGCCGAGATGAACTGGATGAAAAATAACTGATATACAGAGTGACCTTTTGAAAAATGACCCTTATTTACAACAGATACTTCCAAAGACAACTGTAAAAAGCATTCGAGTAGCAATTCCAAACAAACCAAGGTCTGACAACTATGCCCATCAAGCTACAATTTCAGCAGATGTTGACAGGAACAGAAAAAAAACACCAAACAAAAAAACCGAAGGAAAAAATGCTTCCAGAGATGTGGCTTTGTTGCTGCTCTCGTGTCAGACTGTTGAAACTAAGGCACTATCTCTTGTTGCCATGGTGCCCTGGGGAGGGCCATGGTTACGCTCTAAACAAAGCCGAGAGATGATTCCAAGAGGAGGGAGAAAGGCCAATTATACCATGAGGAAAAAATGAAGAAGGGTTATGGGGAAACACAATCACGAAAACAAAAAGTAAGGACCTATTTTGTCATGTAATTATGATTTAAAAAATGACTAACCAGTGTTGCCTCACTTTTCAAGGAAAGGACTATTTGCTCTCTTTCCAAATACTCACTTTCAAGACAAATTCTCTTATCTGATTAACAAAATTGGCAGAAATTTGGCCTCACACACGACTGTATTAAATCTAATTTTGACAGCACTATCACTTTTAGTGAAAACAAAAAGGTGAGGATTAGTTTACAATCTGACATTCAGGCTGACAACCCATCTCATTTGCAAGCTAAGAACAAGAAACAGGTGGTTTGTCAGCAGCCTGATCCTGACTGTCAGATCAGGTGTTAGTGCGAGTTAAAACAAACGCTCCCTGTCAGCAGGGCTGGAGCTGTCAGCCACCAATTTGTTTCTTCTGTTTCACTTTGTAAAAAGATGAAAAGATCAGAATCCAGCTTGTTTGTGTCTGAGTGGCCCTGTCCACGAGGTACCCCAATGTCAGCTGGGATAGGCTCCAGCCCCCCCACGACCCTAGTATTAATAGTCTGTACAGACGATTAATTAATTAAGACAGGACTGAAAAGGTCCACTAAAGGTGGGTTAACGATCTCCTGCAGTGCTGATAAAGCATTGTGTCGGTCGACCATTTACAGTTTACAGTGCAGCTAAACAATGTGCTCACATCAGGCTCTCCACAGTCGCACTCCTCTCCATCCTCCACAAAGCCATTGCCGCACTTCTTGCCTCCCACCAGGTCCTTCATGTTGGGCATGTTGTAGAGACACATGCCCCCTCCCTTCTGAAAGTAGTTGTCAAGGTCCCGTTTGCTGCAGCGGCTGAAAACTCGTGGGAATGGATGCCTATACACAAAAACAGCAACACAATCAGTGGCCAGATGACTATTTTTTTGCTAGACTCGGCTTATATGTAACAGTGTTTGTTGATGTATCTGGGTAATACTTTAAGGCATTACTGGGCAATACCGAGAGGTCCTTATTTTCTTGTCTTTTTTTCTATTTCTAAATGAATTAAACAAGTAATAAGAAAGAAAAACTATTAATTAAGAATGATTGCTGGCTGTAAAAAAAATCATGCATTTGGTGTTTTATTATTTTGCAGTCAGCATTTTTCAGTAACACAGATTAATGGGGCGGTTGCTTCGTTTTCGATGACAGTGTGTGTTGGAGCTTTTGGGTACAGCGACTCAGGATTATCAGGCTTATGCTGCGGCTCACCCGGTGGCAGCAGCCATCACACAGCCTCCCTGCTCAGCAGTGGCCTCCACACAGCAGCCGTCGTGGTCGTGGCTCATGCCGAAGTTGTGGCCAATCTCATGCGCCATGGTAGCAGCAGCACCAATAGACAAGTCCGAGTGGTCCTACGGGTATCAGTCACAGGGAAGTAACATTTAGGTCATTAAGATTAGTCTGGCTGTCGTACACACCAAACACACACATGTACTTCACAGTTTAGATCATAACAACACTATCTCATCTTTGCCAGTCTACTAAAGTTTTACATGCAATTTAATTTGAAAAGAGGTTAGAGGGACTTTGTCTTATTGAATAACTGTCATAGGGGTCGGGTGCAGTGTGCCCTGGGCGGCGGCCAGAGTCGGAGACCTTGGCGGACTGTTCCCCGGCTGCAGAAGCTGGCTCTAGGGACGTGGAACGTCACCTCTCTGGTGGGGAAGGAGCCTGAGCTGGTGTGCGAGGCGGAGAGATTCCGGCTGGACATAGTCGGTCTCTTCTCGACACACAGCTCTGGCTCTGGAACCAGCCTTCTCCAGAGGGGTTGGACGCTCTGCTACTCTGGAGTTGCCCCCAGTGAGAGGCGTCGAGCAGGAGTGGGCATACTCATTGCCCCCCACCTCGGTGCCTGAACGTTGGGGTTTACCCCAGTGAGCGAGAGGGTAGCATCCCTTCGCCTTCGGGTGGGGGGACGGGTCCTGACTGTTGTTTGTGCCTATGCGCCCACCCTTTTTGGAGTCCTTAGAGGGGGTACTGGAGGGTGCCCCCTCTGGGGACTCCCTCGTTTTGCTGGGGGACTTCAACGCCCACGTTCTGTTTTTGGACTTCTGTGCTCGGCACGGATTGTCCATAACGAACACCATGTTCAAACATAAGAGTGTCCATATGTGCACCTGGCACCAGGACACTCTAGGCCGCAGCTCAATGATTGACTTCGTTGTCGTTTAAGCTGATCTGCGGCCGCATGTTTTGGACACTCGGGTCAAGAGAGGGGCGGAGCTTTCCACTGACCACTACCCGGTGGTGAGTTGGCTCCGGTGGTGGGGGAGGATGCCGGTGAGACCCGGGAGGCCTAAACGTATTGTGAGGGTCTGCTGGGAGCGCCTGGCGGAGTCCTCTGTTAGGCGGAGCTTTAACTCCCACCTCCGGGAGAGCTTCGAGCACGTTCCGGGGGAGGCGGGGGACATTGAGTCCGAGTGGGCCATGTTCCGCGCCTCCATCAATGATGCGGCCTCCCGGAGCTGCGGTCACAGGGCGGTCGGTGCCTGTCGTGGCGGCAACCCTCGAACCCGCTGGTGGACACCGGCGGTGAGGGATGCCGTCAGGCTGAAGAAGGAGTCCTATCGGGCCTTTTTGGCCTGTGGGACTCCGGAGGCAGCCGATGGGTACCGGCAGTCCAAGCGATGTGCGGCTCGGGTGGTCGCCGAGGCAAAAACCCGGGCGTGGGAGGAGTTTGGGGAGGCCATGGAAAAAGACTTCCGTACGGCCTCGAGGCGATTCTGGTCCACCATCCGGCGTCTCAGGGGGGGGAAGCAGTGCCCCACCAACACTGTTTACAGTGGGGGTGGTGTGCTGTTGACCTCAACTCGGGACGTTGTGGGTCGGTGGGCGGAGTACTTCGAGGACCTCCTCAATCCCACTGGCGCGTCCTCCATTGGAGGGGCAGAGCCTGGGGATCCGGAGTTGGAGTCTCTAATCTCTGGGGCTGAAGTCACCGAGGTGGTCAAAAAGCTCCGCGGTGGCAAGGCCCAGGGGGTGGATGAGACTCGGCCGGAGTTCCTCAAGGCTTTGGATGTTGTGGGGCTGCGTTGGCTAACGCGACTCTGCAACATCGCGTGGACATCAGGGGCAGTCCCGCTGGATTGGCAGACTGGGGTGGTGGTCCCCCTATTTAAAAAGGGGGACCGAAGGGTGTGTTCCAACTACAGGGGGATCACACTCTTAAGCCTCCCTGGGAAGGTCTATTCAGCGGTTCTAGAGAGGAGGGTCCTTCGGATAGTCGAGTCTCGGATCGAGGATGAGCAGTGTGGTTTTCGTCCTGGCCGTGGAACGCTGGACCAGCTCTATACCCTCAGCGGGGTCCTGGAGGGTGCATGGGAGTTCGCTCAACCAGTCCACATGTGTTTTGTGGACTTGGAGAAGGCGTTCGACCGTGTCCCTCGGGGTATCCTGTGGGGGGTGCTCCGGGAGTATGGGGTACCTGGCCCTTTGTTACGGGCTGTTCGGTCCCTGTACGACCGGAGTCAGAGTCTGGTTTGCATTGCCGGTAGTAAGTCGGACTCGTTTCCGGTGGGAGTTGGACTCCGCCAAGGCTGCCCTATGTCTCCGGTCCTGTTCATAACTTTTATGGACAGGATTTCTAGGCGCAGCCGAGGTGTTGAGGGTGTCAGTCTTTTTTGCAGATGATGTGGTCCTGTTGGCTTCATCAAGTCGGGACCTACAGCTCTCGCTGGAGCGGTTCGCAGCCGAGTGCGAAGCGGCTGGGATGAGGATCAGTGCCTCCAAGTCCGAGACCATGGTCTCTCACCGGAAAAAGGTAGAGTGCCTTCTCTGAGTCGGAGTGGACGTCCTTCCCCAAGTGGAGAAGTTCAAGTATCTCGGGGTCCTGTTCGCAAATGGGGGTATGGAGCGTGAGATCGATAGGCGGATCGGTGCGGCGTCTGCATTAATGCGGGCGCTGTACCGGTCTGTCGTGATGAAGAGAGAGCTGAGCCTAAAGGCGAAGTTCTCAATTTATCGGTCGATCTACGTTCCCACACTCGTCTATGGCCACGAACTTTGGGTAGTGACCGAAAGAACAAGATCGCGGATACAAGCGGCCAAAATGAGTTTCCTCCGCAGGGTGGCTGGGCTCTCCCTTAGAGATAGGGTGAGAAGCTCGGCCATCCAGGAGGGGCTCAGAGTAGAGCCGCTGCTCCTCCAGGTTGAGAGGAGCCAGTTGAGGTGGCATCTGTTTAGGATGCCTCCTGGTCGCCTCCCTGGGGAGGTGTTCCGGGCTCGTCCCACCGGGAGAAGGCCCAGAGGAAGACCCAGGACCCGCTGGAGGGACTATGTGTCCCGGCTGGCCTGGGAACACCTCGGGATCCCCCCGGAGGAGCTGGCTGAAGTGGCCGGGGAGAGGGAAGTCTGGATTTCCCTGCTCCGGCTGCTGCCCCCGCGACCCGACCCCGGATAAGCGGAGGACGATGGATGGATGGATGGATGGATGGATGTTCCATTCTACTATCTTAACTAATCTAAAATAATCAATTTCTCTGAACCACTGAATACCTTTTATAAAATACAGGTAGTTTTTTAAAAAAATATATAAATCTATGTTTGTAAATCTATAATAAGCCATTTGTAATTTAGTGTATTCAATTAGTACTCTCACTTATGGAAGATAGGAATGTGTTGTTTTCTTTAATATAGTTTCCAAATTTGATCAATTTAAATGTATCAAATGTCTGCATTTTTTAACGGGGAATCTCTGCAATATTTTCTGATGGTCTCATAATGAAAAAGATTCTTGATAAACAATGCAACATTCTGTTTAATGAAATGAGATTTCTGCCATATTTTCCAGAACTTTGCCGAAGTCTGATCTGCAACAGTTTTACTGAATACAAATGCTTCCTTAAGGAAAAGATCAGGATAAGGAGAGGATGTATATTATTTTCTATTATTTCTTGTATTGTGTTCTAAACTGACTCCAAATATGTCCCTGCTATAAACTGGTGACCTGTCCATGGTGCACCCTGCCTCTCCCCCCGTGTCATTTGGGATGGGGTCCAGAACCCAGTTGGATTAAGTGGTATAGAAAATAGAGTTAGGCACTCCAAATTTGCCAAAGATAAAAGTGGTACATCAGGGTTTTTGAGAGAATCTATTCTATAAGAATTTCAAAGTAAGAAGTGGCGACAAAGGTAAGCAGCAAATCTTAAAGTGAGCACATGTAGCACCGACTTACAGTTAAAAACTGCTGCTTTATAAACCTCGGATGTAAATTGTCCATGCTCTATATAATGGAGAAGCAGTTACCGTCTGGAAAAGCTTATGTTCTGCTCTGAAATCTTTTATATTCAATTCAATGCTATTAATACCGAATCACAGCCGTGTGTTTGTGTGTGCGTGTCCGATGTTTGTGTGTGTGGGTATGTGAGTGTAAGCGTGCGTGTGTGTGTGTGTGTGTGTGTGTGTGTGTGTGTGTGTGTGTTGTGGTTCCTGTTAGCCACAGCACATTTGGATTCCACTTCTATCTCTGCCTACAGACAGCTAACAGCCTATTAGAAGGCAATAATGCTTAGAAACGCCATCCATCTCACTGACCAGTCAGTTCACTGCAGAGCTCATACGTAGACACACACAACGGAACAAGCTGCATGTGAATGCAGGCCCAGGGTGTGCACTGCAGCGTTTAAACAAGAACAACATAATGGTTGGCTAAAATGACTGACTTGTAGGTGAACCCGTATGTGGTCCAAACTCATAGAGTATCTTAATGCAGTGCTATAAAAATATTTTTCTTATACACCATATCAAACCAATAACAAAGCAAAGTTGTGCATTAACAGGTTAAAATCGGTTATGTTAATAGCTGCACTCAAAGTTGGACTTTTTTCATGGCCAACTAAATCGGTGTGTCTTGTGGAGTTTTGATGTTTTCTGTATCTAGAATGTAAACTGAACATACTGCCCTGTTTAATTGCCCCGGTTAATAAACACCAACCTAACTGACTCTATTTTAATCATGACTAATGTGCTTCCTTTACATGGAAAACTACTTGTTGATATATTGAATCTGCTTTTCCAGATAACTCTCATTACTCTATTCTACACAGAAACACAGATTTCTTCTTGCTACAACTTGAACTGAGGTGTAAATCCATGATCTGAGCATCGATTCTCAACATAAACATGTTAACATTTTGTGCTGCTTAGAATGGCCTCTGTAACTTCTCCTCATTTCTCTCTTAACTTTCAAAAATATGCAAAATGTAGAACTGTTAAACGCATTTATGGAGGAATATTTGCATGGCCAAAAACATAGACAGACAGACATTACACAAAGGTGAGTTCTAGCGATGCATTTCTACTCACCACATTAATGCCTCCAGAGTTTTCCAGGCTGCACATCCCCTCCAGTGGTGCCATGCCAATAGTTGTCCCCTTGAAAATCACACCGCTAACACACAGAGAGAGGGAAATATTACTTCACTAAAATGGTAGTCCTTTTTTAATGTATGGTCTCCAACAGTGAGGGCACAGCAACTGCAAATGCAACAGCCCAGCATCAGGCATGACAAGCCTCTTAGGAGAGGACTGGTCCACTGTGTGATCTGCTGTTTGCATCCAAAAAGACAATTAAGCCTTCTCTGATGAACAGAAAAATAGTTTTGTTTTGCTACAATGAATTATGGAGCATAAGAGGCCGACAATTCATTGCTTATGAGTAAAAGTATTTTTTGGTGCATTAGCTGATGTCAGCAACTGAAACTATTTAGTAGTTCACGTCACTTTTGAAAGTATCTGACCCAAAGCTGGTGGTTATGTTTTCATGGGTGTCACAATGAGGCACACCACTGTGTGGGTGATAAAATGAGAGAAGTGTGGGAGTTAATCAGTCAGAATGCAAATTCTGAACCACTCTATTAACATCAGGACAGGTAAGAATCTGTTGGATCAGACTCAAATCAGAATTACAGTAGCAGATTTCTCCTTGATAAGTTCCTCTAAGGTAAATGTTCTATGGTAAAATAAAATGTCCTGCTTTTAGTTAGAGATCATTCCTCTGTCTGATCCTACATGACAGAGTTTAATGTCTGTGTTGAATCCAAATACACATATCAGTAATGTAAATAATTAACAAGATTGAACAAATTAAACTCCCACCAATGAGCCACAACATTTACACCACCTAATTAATTCAACCCTGTAATGCCAAATGTATCATATTTAATATATACGGCTTCTGAAATGTTTTGCTTCCGACACCTTTTGCATAATTTAATGGTAAAAACTTTGCTCAAAATCCTATTGTACACAATCAGATACACCTGATAACAGGGGGCAGAAGACTACACAAAAAATAAACTTGATTTATCGCATCGTAATATATTATTAATATTAACATTTTCTTTTTGTTTTTTCTTTTTACATATTTAGTTAAAAGGCCAAAAAAGACTTAAAACCAAAAAAAAGTAATTTTCTGTTTTGTTTTATTCTTGGATCAGGCTTTAAAGGGATAATGTTGATCTAAAATATGCATCCAAAAAGGAGCTCTATCTCTTAAGGTATCCATTCTTTATAGGAATTGTGTGGTATCTAAACCATTGCTTAGGATAATTGTATTTTTTTCCACTTATCCCTGAATAATGGACAACATTTGCTTGTACCGTTAGTGGTTCCTGCATAGTGTTGTGGCACCATGACCTCACAGCTAGAGGGCTCCCAGCTTGAGTCTTTCTGTGTGGAATTTATTTGTTCTCCCTTTGTTCTCCCTCTCACCATTAAACAACATGTACGTAAGGATAATTGGCAGCTCTAAATTGTCCCCAGGAGTGTGTGCGCCCCTGTGTGACAGGTCCACTTTTACCTATGGCCATGACCCAACTTGGAATAAGCAGGAATGGAAAATGAATGGATGTATGGGCATTCGTGGTCCAAATGTTCTGACTCACTGATGACTGCTAATTACTACCAGATGGTGACATCATGTTCCTTTTTTGTACAATCCCGATCAAAAAGTTAGGCCCAGTTAAAAAATGGATTACCAGAACTTCCAAAATTGGATCTTAAGAAGTTTTAAAGTAGAGCTTCAAATTGTATAGAAAGGAAATGAAAGCAAGAGACTTTGAGCAAAAATAAAAACCTCAAAAAAGAAAGTAATGTCCAAACGGGCCATTCTGTTGTGTTGAAGGAGACGTGCCTTTGGAAGACAGCTCTTCCCTCCCATGAGCCATCTGATGGTTAATTGGCGGCAGTCAGCACCAGTCATTTGGGTTGAGGATCGTCCCGTGCCTTGATGGATGGCCAATTGGTTCCATTGGTTCCAATTTCTGGTAGACTTACCACAATCGTTTTTTGTTCCATAGCTCTCTGGATCTTTTAAGAAACTCAAACTGACTCTTACTGCGTCTGACCTTAAGAGACTGCATGATGTGAGAGGCTTTGTTCATGCAACTCACCAATCTGACCACAATCAAAGAGAGCGGGCTTTTTCCATTAGTCATCAGACCTTGACAGAAACTGACATGGAAATGTAAGCTTTCCTTACACTTCTGATCAGCTGGTGAACAGCATATTTCAGTTCAACTCTGGACAATTTCAAGCTCTTTTTATAAACTTCTTAAGATCCAACAGTGCAAAATGCAAATTATTGCAATCTTTTAGCTGGTCTTAAGATTTTCAACAGCAGTGTTTGCTAAGAGAAAACAACGTGAAAAGGCAAACTTCCTATTTTCATTTTTCATTAAGTTTTCTTTTTTTAATTAAATCATAATAATTAAAACCTTAAAGAGAATGCAGTGTTTCCTTGAGGTGTGAAAACCATGAATTCCCTTTTTTGTATCGGGAACTCATAAAAATGGATAAACACAATAACAAACAAATCTCTGATTTTTTTTATGTTGCTACCATCAGGACATAATTCTGAAGGTGAAAAATGGTCTGTATTCAGTTCACGATATCTGCTTGTCCTCTTTGTATGGTATTTTGTTTTTTGTAACACTAATCTAGTGCATGCATGATTCTGTGCACACAGTCCCATAGTTACTAACCATTTGGCTGCAGAACAACACAGTCTACTCTTTTTTTTGCATATTTTGCAGTCTACTTCATTTATCTCATCCTGGTCTTGCCTGCTTCTTCTATTTTCATTCCCCCATTGTGTATTCTTTTAAGCTTACCTCTCCTCTGGTTTTCTACCTGTCCTTAGTTTGTGAGTTCCACACCTGTGCCCCATTTATCACTTCCCTCACTACAAATGCTCGTGGTTTTCCTTTGGCCAGTCCTTATACGTTTGCAGTAAAAAGGTGCTATTGTAGATAGGTGAAACAGAATCTTCAGTCTGTTGTTAAATCTGCAGAATTGATTGTGTTGATCAATATATTCTCAATCAGTGCATACTAGATGGAACACATGCATGAAGAGACATAAGGGTAGAGTCAGTGTTTTACAATTAAGGCCTAAGATTCCACCTCTCAGATGTGTTACTTTCTTAAGAGGATGAAAAATAAACAGTTTTTAATGAACACATAGTTTCTTAATGGGTTAAGGAGCTGTGAGGATCTTAGTGTATTAATATATGTTTCACGCTTTATAAACCAGTGCTGACAGGTCCCAAAATAACATCGTGCAATGTCCTACTTTGCGTCATTGTGACACAGCAAACTGAGGAGTGACAGGAGGTAGTCCTATAGGTGAAGGCAGCTGTCACAAAGGTTGTCTTTTTTTTTAAACTCCTCGTTACAGTTTCCCTTGGTGTTTTTGTCAAATGTGTTTATTCAGGTGGCAAAAAATCTAGTCTGTCATCCCGCAGCCCCCCAAAAAAAATATAGCTCTCAGGAAACTATCCCTCTTTCTCATCTCTCTGCTTCTGTCTCTCGGTTGACATCTTTATTCTGTCGCGCTCTCATCCAGTCTCCTCTGTGGAAAACAGACTAAAATGTGGGAAGCTGATCTTTGTGTACACTGTATGTATCTGGGGGTAAAATGTGACCACCGCTGTCATTAATCTCTACCCAACATAGAATATCGAAAATGATGATGATGACTCATTTCATTAATCGGTTTATGAATATATTAAACAGGTTAATTTATAAAGTTGCCCTGCTTTATGTTACACAAATTGCTCAGACTTAATATCCAGCTGTTGTTCATGTATGCATTAAATATGGAATCACTCAACACAAATAAAGAAAAAACAATCTTAATAAGCAGTTATTCTCAAAAGAGATGTTGGAACATCTTTTAGCACTGGTGGCCTCCTCAAAATATTACCTGCATTAATTGACATTGTGTTACAAGAACTTTTTAGACCATTTCAGAGACAGACTGCGGCATCTTGTTTAGAACAAACATCTTCATTCTTTAGCAAAGTTCTTGCTGTGTTAGATCACTTATCTCTCTTACATTTTTTAAATTAACCAGTTTATACCTATTTTATTAAATGAGCAAAGTTCTTGCTCAAGAACATTGAACAACAGGTTTACATGCCCTTCTTACAAACTGAATTGTAATATCTATTACCCTGCGATTAGACAATAATTTTGATTTGTTTCTACAAAAAAACAGCCTTTTAGTCTTGGACAGTGTGGAAGGACACCTGTTCTTGAATCCTAAATGATTCTTTGTGGTGTAGATTCCCAGTCATCTAAGTCACGGTAATCCTAAATGCTTGAGAAAGGCGCAGGCAGATGTTTTAGCTTAGCTTTGAATATATTTCGCTTAGAAAAATGGAAGTTTACAAAAATCCAATCTTCCAACCAGTCACTTAAAGCTGATGTAGCCTTTCAGATTAAAAATGAAACATCCAGTTTGGATTGAATAACAAAGGTAGTGTGGAAAAAAGAAACCAGCTAAAACAGAGTTGTTTAATAACTACTGTCAGTTAAAAACAACCACATCTTTTTGATATTGATTTGGAGCAAAACAATCCCCCCAAAAATCGTGTTCTGTCTGTTGTCTTCCCACTCGGTAACAGTGGAACACAACTTGAGTTTAGGCTATAATTGGAACACAAATGCTTTTGAGGGCAAGCGTAACTGGGGAATACTGTGTTTCTTACGTGAGCAGCTGCGCATTGTCGTGTTTTTTACGAGATTTAAGCTTCTGTCTCCACTGAAGGAAAGACCAGAGTGTGGCGTTGGGCTCCTCCGTGATGATGCACTGATCCCGGTCAGTCCAAACCTCCAGACCAATAAGAGGCACGCGGATGTTAAGAGCCCTGTAGAACTAAAAAGATACACAACATCGACAAAAATGTAGCAGCTCGCACACATAGTTCAACACAAATAGGATAGCTCACGATCTTGTCATAGGCTCACATAATACAATTAGGTTACACAAGACAAATTTCTATTGATCTATCCTAAAAGGCTTTAGAAGGACACATTTGATTTAATCCTAATTCGACTTCATGACTGCAGATATTTGTGCTGAACACACTTTTCGGTCCCAGATAATGCTGATGGAATATGAGAGAACACAAACAGAGGTATAAAGTGGGGATAAATTACATTAGAAATGTAACAATATCTATTAGCAAGCTGAATGAAGCCATTTACTCGTTAAAAAATAACAAGCAGCTGAAGGACAACCCATCAGCCTTACCTTATCCACATAATTGGCAATTTCCATTATCCTTGCTTTTGTCTTTTGATAGTCCTTATTCTGCCGTTTAAACTGCAGGACATAGAGAGGAGCAGGAGTATTAATGTCACGACTCAGGTCAGCAGTCAGTTCACAGCTGAAAATAACAACCCAGAATCAACACTAGAAAGCAACTTCTCACGCCAAGGTTCATTACCATGACGACACGAGTGTGTGTCCAGAACAGCTGGGAAATAACCTAACCTTACATAACCTGCCAATGAGTTAATGTCGACATTTAATTGAAAACACTACAAAGATAAATGTTACACCTCAGAAATGGCATTGTTTGTTGAAAAGCATTTATTTTTTAGCAGAAAATGAACAGGCAGAAACAGGTAACTTGGCAACTGCTCAAGATTGGAAATGAGAAGTGGGAAGCAGACAGTTTGTGTCATATATGGTACACTGTGATAATGGGATATTCAGAAAACAAAAATGGGCATCAGTTGTAAATGGTAGAAGCAAAAGGTAGACAGAAGCAAAGTGGAAAAACTGTTTTGTGGTCTGACAGATCAAAATCTGGTATGTATTCTGCATTCTTCTAGCAGTCTGTTAATCAATCCTTCTCACTTACACAGTGCTCCCACTAACATTTGGAGCACTGTTAATAATACAATAATTCAATAATAAATTAAAATACTAAATACATTTAATAATAAATTAATAAAAATCATAATAACTTTTTTTTTTTCTATATTAAAGTTACAGAAACTGGGACCTCAGTTCCAAAATGCTAAATGAGTGTTGTTAAAACCAAGGTTGTCAATTAGCCCTTGTTTTTTTCTATTTAAAACATGTTTCTGACATCAAGTTTAATGATATAATTGAAAAAGACGCAATTCTTCTTTCTTTAAATAATAATAATAATAATAATAATACAATGTTTTATTCCATTTATTTGGCTTTAATGCAAAATTTAGAGCACACTTTCTTGAAGTCTGATTTTTACATTAACTCTACATCAGGGGAAAGTTAAGCTTTTCAAAAATCTTCATCCGGTTTCCACTCTGATGTCACCTGATGACATCTGATATTTGCAAACAAACATGACATTTGATGATACGCATGAATATTCAGTAAGTCCAGAGGAGTGAATAGAGATTGATATTACCAGTGTGTTGTCTGCCACAATATACAGCTCCATGTATTTAGTCGTACCCAAGGTATTCCTCTTAACCTGATATTAAAGAAAAAAAGACAGGAATGAATCATTATGCACAGGGGACTTTTTAGTTAATTTTTTTGTTTTTGCTCTGAACAATCACAGGCCATCACTTTCTGAGTGCTTGCTCATTACTTAAAAACAATGGCACATGAAGAAAAGAGGCCAGAGACATTCTGAAACAAAAAATCTTGTGAAGTCAGGTCCACAGTAGCTCCAAGTGACCACTTCCGGAACTTTTAAATGACTGGATCCTATCCAAGGGGGGGTATACTAGACCCTAATCCATTGCAGGGCCACACAGAGACAAACAACCACAATTTGGAGCTATTTGGAGTGTCCATTTTAGCTAAAATGCATGTTTTTGGATGGTGTGAGGAAGCCGGAGTAGCTGGAGACATCCCACACAGACACAGGGGCAAGATTCAAACTCCACACTGAAAGGTTTCGGGCCCCCCAGGGACTCAAACTGGGAACCCTCTAGCTGGGAGACGATGGTGCTAACCCCCACACCACCCATAACGCCCATAACATAAACAAATATAATAAAATATAACATAAGACCCAACAAACATGCTTTCAATATTAGTTTGTATTTGATTCCATGTAAGAGTGGGTTGATCGTCCCAGAATAAGTGTGTTAGGTTAATCTGTGACTCTAAATTGACCCCAAGAGTGACTGACAGGTGATGAACTGGTAACCTTTCCAGGGTGTTCAATAATAGGCAGGAAAGGTTCCAGTTTGACCCTGAATTGGATTAGACGAGTTTACAAATGGGTGGATAGTTGAATGAATGAATGAATGAATGAACAGACAATATTTGGTGGGGTAAAAAGTCTCCTATGTAGAAAAAACCTTCAAACCATCCATGTAGTTGTCTTCTGAAATATTTCAAAGCCTTATTTCCAACATTATTCATTGTCAAGCATCCTGATCCTTGATTAAAGCCATTAAAAAGAGTTTAATTAAAGGGTCAATAATCAATGTTTGTTAGTAGGAAAGGGTTCATGGATTGGTCAGCTTTTAACACAAGCACAGTGTAATGGCAGAAAATATGTGGATCTGTGATTGCAGACCCAATTCATTGAGTACGTTAATGCATGACTGCATTCACACACTTTATAACATTTGCAAAAAAATGTGGCAAAAATGTTTGGCATTTGATCTGCTGGACTACAATTCAGAAATAACCTCCCAAGATCAGTGGGTTAGAGTTCAGAGGGGTGAGAGGAATGATGGACAAAGACAAAGTAAAAAAAAAAGAAAGGGGTGATTCTCCGAGGGAAGCAAGGGATGTAGCATCTGTGGTTTGGACATAGATAAGGTCATTTATAGTGATCAAGAATGGAAACTGAAAATAGTTTCAAATGAAAAAAAGACAAAAGGAACATGGTAAAAAATATATAGATAAAACAGGAATAAATTTTCTCCAGTTTTAGCTTCTATTTATTGGCTCACTTTTAAATCCGGAAAAGAAATTAAACTTGTTTCTCACATATACAATTCTATAAGACCAAGCTCTATTATTTTAAACACCTCATAGTAAATATTCTCCAAACAGAGCACTCTACTCTCAGACTGCAGGTCTTCTATTCTTTTAAGATTAGGTGTCAACTTTTATTTTTAAGAAATGCCTCAGCTGACCCTCAAACATCCCATAGTTATGCTGTTATAGGCCCAGCCTGTCTCTGCATTCTTCCCTCTCCATGAACATGTGACATTATTGTCATTAATTGTGTTTAGTTGTGTGTCAAAGTGCTCGTTGTCCCCGTGTTTTTTTGTTTTTGCACAGGAGATTGTCACCTGTCTGGTTCTGGTCCGATTCTTGTAGAGGTTTCATCCAGTTTCGATACAATATGTTGGTTTCCCTAGCAACGCTATTTTTAAGAAGATATTATGCATGTATGATTTGGACTAGTTTGGAATTCAGTGCTGAATCCCAGCTGGGGATTCTGTGTGGAGTTTGCATGTTCTCCCCGTGTGTGTTCTCCATCCAGAACGAGGTGGGATGAATTCAAAATCCTTCATAGTTGAGAAATGTGTGAGCTAGTCAAGAAGGGGGATTACAACCATAACTGATTTAATCACTTCCAACTGTACATCCAAAAGCCCTTTTATTGTTGCACATAACTTCCACAAGCTCTGAAAATGAACGCAAAGCCGACTACTTAAATAAGATCAGTTAGTAAGATCAACAAACAGCAACTTGGTTTTGCTCCATGAATTTTTGTCATCATCATCCAACCAATTACTTGACTGAGGCGTTTGCTTTTGTGAGAAACAGACTTGGTCCAGCAGGACTAGACGGCATAAGCCGGATGCAAGTCCTCCTGCTGGATTAATGTCTGTGTACAGCAGTTTGAGAGACTTTCAGAGGAATAGACCACCAACACATGGACCTAATTTTGTTCAGAGTGATTAAAGAAAATTGATGAGACAAACTGAGAATGTTGATTTATTTCTGCTTACTTATACTTTAAAAAACCATCTCACTGAAGGCGCTTTCATTTGAAAAAATGGAATATTATTTAGGAATCATTTAAAAGTAACAGGATAATGATAACAGTTTATGAATTAATTAGGTTAAATGATATTATCCAATTGAATTTTCCCTTCTAAATAAAATGTGGGCTGTAGAAAAGGTCTTTAGGTAGAACAGAATGAATAAATCACATTAAACGTTTTTCTTCCGTCTTCCTGGTTTAAATCCCAGTTGGAGGCATTTCTGAGTTTGCGTGCTCTGTGTGTGCACGTGTGGGTTCTCTGCAGGTACGCCAGCTTCCTCCCACCATCCAAAAACATGCACATTAAGTCAGGTGGTGATTCCAACTTGCGACTCTTGCCCTATTCTAATATTCACTCGATTATACACCTCGATTTATCTCAGTCTGCCTCAGCTCCTCTTTAATAGTATTTATTGCAGACATTTTTTCATTTTTATGCACCAGTGGTCTTTGTACGTTTAAAACATAAAAACTCATAAACAGACAAGAAAATGGCTTTTAAATAGCTGTCAGAAAAGTCTTGCCTGAATCTTCTCACAGCACACTGTAGGACTCCTACACCCGCATTCAAAGCAACAGCAACAGAGTGAAACATGGCTCACTAGAAACCTATTTCATCTAAAGTGGGACTGTATCAACTGGAGAAACACGTTCGAATAGCAAAGAATTGCCCGTAGAAACGTCCTCCCATGCTCTAGGTTGATGTCACGGCTGAAATTTTATTCACCAACTACTTGTGTTATAATATTTAATGATATGATTCTGGTTCTTAGAATGAAAACTTTGCCAAACGAATGTCGTCCTTGCTGTAAACAAGTTTCCTTTTTGAAGGAAACCAGCTAAATAGAATTTCACAAGAGCATGAGAGACTCACCCTTGAATGGAATGGTTTGAGTAGGCTCAGGATATTGTCCGACTGTGTGGTGTGATGGCCATGGCCGCAGTTTCCGCCCTTGATTTGCAGTTCACTGGCGCTCAGCAGTGAATGGTTGACAGGGCTCTCACCGCCCATTGGCTCCAGGTAGTATGTGTCATTAAAATTCAAGGATATCAGGCCCCTGTACGAGATATAGAAAACACACAAAAACAAAATGCATGTAAATGAGACTTGATAAGGTTCAATTTAAATGTTAAAATTCTGAATTAGGCATTTTGCATTCTCAATTAAAACCAACTAATAAAAATCCCTACTTCATATAAAGCTGCTCCTCTCAGTGTCACATGATGGGAGGATACCGGTCTAGAGCTGGTGCCAGTTATCTTTTGAACTAGTCCACTTTATGTTGTTGAAGCTCTACTTTAAAATGAGTTAAGTTTGTCAAAAGGCGAAGAAAATAATAATACTGACAATCTGACATTTCTGGTCACTTTGCATACCCTGACACTCTTAGAAAACTCCAAGTTAGACAGATGATAGCTTGATTCTATCCTTTAAAGTTCAAATATCTACAACAGAATGGCTGAAAAAGCAACAGATCAAGTTTTTGCAATGATCAGGTCAAAGTCACCAGCTTAACATAACAGACACACTATATTAGCTACTAGCTTTATTTTACCAATGTATCAAATGAAATTTTAAATCTCTTGCAAATACTACCTTAAAGCTCAGATGCTATCATCGGGCTCCATGTTTATAAAACCTTATACAGTCAGGATTACAGAAGTAAATCAACAGTTGCTGATTGTACCTGACTCCTGAACATGCGCTGATGGCAACCCAAGATTCGGGATGTCCACTTATATGTCCATGGTAGTAGCAGTGGTCCTGAGAAAGAACAGATTTAGTCACTGCAATGTGTTTGACAATGTGTCAAACTCCAGTCCTGGAGGGCCGCAGTCCTGCGGGTTTAAGACGTTTTCCTCCTGATTCTGTTTAAACTAGATCTCCTCCAGACATTTTAAACTTTACAGGCCTGGTAATGGCACACTGATCTGAACCAGGTGTGCTAAAACACGCAAACCTTTTAAAACCTGTTGGACAGCGGCCCTCGAGGAGGGCTGCAGGTGTGGTTTCACACCTAGGCTCAAAATATATAATAACCATCATAACATATTCTATGAATGTGTTGACCAGGGTTTGACACCACTTGTCAACACATTAATGCCCTCGATCTTAATGGAGCAACATTCCATCTGCTGGACCACCAATGGCATTCACAAATGAATTTAATCAGACATAATAAAGACAATTTTTTAAAAAGTAACTAAAAAAGGGGGGACGGTTTGTCTTAGTTGTTTTTATTACAAAGAATAAATGCATTTACAGTGCTTGATAAATGATATCAGCATTGTATTTTCTGAAAAAAAATATGATCTGTGCCTTTCTGTGCACGACTGTGGACGCATTCTGCCTTCCAATAGGAATATTTCAGCTCGAACTTAACACTCAGCAGTCAGATTCGATTTTCCTTGCTTAAATCCAGCAGTCATTCAGGAATTAAGCGCTGACTTCTATAAACATTCTTAACCCGTAGTCACCTATGACTTATGTAACCTCTTTCTAAAATCAAATTAACCATTGTCTTCTGAAATCAGATTAACGCTGCTGCTGTTCAACTTATTCAAGACTTTGGAATGTGGGAGCAAAAGTGCACTGCTGACTTGTGAGATGGTTCCAACAGTTTAATTAAAACATCAAATCAGCTCATTAAAACCTATCAAACTTCATGCAAACGTATTTAAAAGATAAGGATTTTGACCTTATGGATATTTCTAAAAGTCAATAACACATTGTGAGTACCAATTTAAAACAGTGAGTTGAGTTGCTGACTAAAACTGTTAATAAATGTAAAGCATGACTGAAAAAATAAAACCAACATATACATAGACAGAAGTTTAAACTGGTTTAAATCTGACAAGTTTAAGCAAGATATACATAATTAGGACTAATTTGAATATTTCCTCACTTTTAAAAATCTGACTAGTGGAAAAAAAAATCCTCACCAGCAAGACAACAATAATATAACAAACAGCTTTCCAGTGATATGTGTAACCCTGTTTTTGATACTTACAGTATAATCATGATTGGTCACAGTTACTGGCTGTCCTTCTTCTGAGTAGTAGGTCTCGGTAAAGTCTGGACTCATGAGCTCCCTATGAATGCAAAAAAGAGATGAGGCGTTTAATCGATAATGTAACAATGTAGACTGACAGGGTTCGAGCACAAACATGCCTCAGCACATCAACAAGCTCGTGTTTTTAAATCAATACGATGTTTCTGTCCGGTCAGATTAAGGCACAGGGAACTTATTCACACTGACCAAATGCGATGAATAAAAATCAACAATTTTAGCTAAACCTTGTTTCATTGTGTGCTTATAAGCCATCACATAAAAAACAACATGCAGGGAAGGAGTGCTCCGCCAAGCACGTTGATCACATTAGCTGATGACATTAGGTAATGTCATTAGCCAGGCCCGCTAAGTGATTGACAGTGGCTGCCTGTGCAGTTGTCTTGCAGTAAAAACAAACATATTCTCATCTTGCTGATTGTAAAAAGCTCTTGTAGTAAAGTTACACAGTGGTTTGGTGGAAAGCGTCATGGAGAGAAAACCCATGGTTTCAATCTCAGATGATACAATTCTGCGTGGGATTTGAATGGTCTCCCCATGCATAGGAAAGTTCTTTATTGGTACTCTGATTCCCTCCCACTGTTCAAAAACATGCATAATTCCATTGGTGATTCAAATGGATCCTAGCGGTTTGGGAGTATGCTGTTGATGCCCTCATTTGTTTTTAAGTTGGCCATCAGAAAGACTAATTCAAATAGCATTGAGAAGCTCTAAACTCCCAGTTTAGTGCGTTAAGCAGGTCTGGAATGGATTTATGGGTTCCAAAAAAGAAATTGTCCCTATGTTTATCATTCTTTTTCTAAAACTTTGATTTATTTGGCCACATAATAAACTTGTAATAACTATGGTAATGTATATTCTTAAGGTTCATGGGTTGGACTTCACCATTACAGGGGAATATTAAATCAATTTTAGTTTTAAATTTAAAATCCCCGCTCCTGGCTTAACAAAAAACAATTTCTACCTTTGCTGACAAAGAAAATTGATCATGTGCAATAATTACTAGAAATGTGAGCCCTTTTCTATCTTATACTATCATGATTCTCATCTGTGGTGGCTGTGTAAACTCAGAAAAATCTCTGATGAAATTCATAGCTTCTGTGCCCTGTGAGAAATCGGACTCCACCAAGCTTCATTAAACAGAATGTAATTCCCTCAAAACAAACTGTTGGGTCAGCAAAACTGGAATCTTTCACAATGATGTAGTTGGGATAACCAAGGAAAACAAAGAATGATACTAAACAAATGATTTCACTGCATCTACAGTATATGAAATGAGACTATTTTCTAAGTTGCTTATCAGATGCAAACTTTTATCTGTGTCACCAAAACTGACTTTATCCTCAGATTTGTGACAAAGGTCCAGTGGACATATGTGCGACTTCCACGGGTTTATTCCTTGGAATAAAACCACAATGGCCCTATGCTAGCCTTCAGGAGAAAAGGATGACATTTGTCACGCGGGTGAGGGAGTTTGCCATCAAATGTTCATTGTAACGGATGTATGGATCAGAGGGAGCATGGTGAAGTCTGTCTCTATTCAGCTTCAGTGCATGGCTGAACCACTGACCGGCTGAACCCTGGACTCAAATGGCCGTAAAGAGGGGCAGTGATCTCTCCAGGGTGTATCCATCCTCTCACTGACATGGCACAATGTTCCAGCACATCGTTTAATGTCATTTCATGACTGGTTAATGGTCAATGGTTGGCTCCCTGTTGTATGTGCTCACCCCTGTGCTACTAGCGGGAACCCAACCCCGTGCTGTTGAGGAAATGCTCCAGCCCATTCTCTCATATAATGCTTCTGTTCTGGTTATATAGGCTAGTGATATAGGCTTTTATTCCTACACATGTGTGAGCACAAGAACAGATTCACTTACAGTAATCCGACTTAATGTCACAGTAATTTGCTAAATAATGGATGTGATTTGTATGTATGTATCCAGTGATTTTTCTACTTTATTTGTATCAAAACAGGCTATTATCGACTATTGTGGAAATAGTAAAGTAATGGAGAATATAACTGGCAAAACTGAAATGCTGAATTACACATGATATAAATTAATAGTATCCATTACAAGGCAGCAATAAATAACTTTATATAAAGGCTCATGCATTTGATCAAGTTTAAATGTTTACAGTTCACTTACTACTCTATTTGGATAAGACTTTATTTTTGTGGTTCACGTCTTTTTGTTCCCTCTAGATTCAAACCTTTTCCTTTGTAAAAGAGGACGTCTGTAGATCTCGGCGTGCTGCATACTGTGCAGCACTGTTTTGTAATATGAATGCTCATTAAAAAGTGCCAGTGGATATGAAACTACTCTTCAGTTGTCTTGTTGCTAAATAATTACGTGGCTACACCCAGTTTTTCCTCTTCCTTGGACCATCAGTGCCAAACAGTGCCACCAGACAAACAGTTGAGCTGGGGTTAAAGCAATAAACTACTTCTCTTAGAATAAAAGAACCACATAAGACGGAAAGCAGACCAGCAGCCTGGTTTTGGTGTGCTGAAATAATTAGCTTTACTGAGCAGGCTAAGTGGATGAACAGCTGGATTTTGACAATTGTGTGTAGTATTGTGTCAATAAACAAATTACAGAGAAAAAAGAAAACTTTTTCTGGTCAGATTTTGAGATATTGAAGTAAATCAATGTGATATATTCACACAATATCCAGTCTGTGTCACGTATGCTTAAGGTGTGACACAAAGAAAATTCAATTAAATTCAATGGTGTTTTTTTGCACATCTGCACATTTTAAATCCATCCATCCATCCGTGCATTGTTTTCTACTCAACCTGTTGCAATTGGCTGTGGAGACTCATGTAGCTACTCATGTAGCTCTGCAAGTGAAAAGAATTGTGCAATAATCTGGGTCAAAACCACACTGCTACTTGCATCCTTGACATAAATGCTGCTTATGTTGATCCCAGGACAACCAAGGCCCAAAAGTCTTCTTCTTTAGCTTGATGGCTTCCCCCCATCTCTATTTAGTGCCACAACAGGCCTGGGTAACGTTAGGACCTACCATCTTGGAAGCCATTCAGATTCCATGTGCCTCACCTCCCCATGGTGACTAAACCAGCTGTGTCAGGGATGTGAGACAAAGACCTAACTGGCAGGAACTTCCAACAAACAGACATTCCAACCTTATGACATACTTGGGCTTATCAGGCCCATCCTGTGGTTTTTCACCAACCAGGTCTTTATTGATTGAGAGCTCTGCCCCTCCCTTAATCTTAGTCTCCTATGTGTGCAGCCACATGATTACAAAGTCCATCACTGACCTCTGGTCTGAGGTAGTGGGCACTTCATGTCCAGTAGAGAAGCACAAAAATAATACACAGCTTGGTTTCAGACTTGGGAAGCTGTTCATCCCAATTACATCTCTCCAGGTCACCCAATGAGTCATCAGTAGCCCAGGAAGATCAGTCGTGACTGAGGATACGTAAGATGTTTTTTCTTAACCATTTAAAAGCAGCAGATGTTCACAATAAAGATCAGTTTGACTGCTTGTGAGGTTCCTTTAAGTTGAAAGCACAGGGGAGAGTGTTGTGCTAAATTTGGAAGCGTTTTATATCTATAGCATGCATGGGGCTGCTGATACTATTTTGGAAATTTTCCACGAACACATAGGTGCTATTTGTTTGAAGTTGAATAATGAAACCAGTCCTTCTGTTATGTGAAATAAGAGTGAATGCATTGTTAATCAAAGACAAGTGAAGGTAATGATGGAGCGTGGTATAACAGCACATAACATCACTCACTGCCATGCACACACACAGACAAGGACTCACATGCAATGACTCCAAACTCAGACATAAAATCAATGATCCTTTAACATAGTCCAGGGTCAAACTGCAAAAGAATAACCTAGACAAAGTTATCCAAAACTCACAGGCAAAGGGAAATCCAAAAATACCAAGATGCCAGTAGAATTAAATGCTAGAACAGTTCCTGTTTTGTCTGCAACAAAACAGGAATTCAGTGAACAAGATAAAACAGGAAACTTAAACTCAACTAAAACTCACAAAAACTGAACCCACAAACATGACACTCATGGTATTGTGTTGATTCCAAAGGCCGAGCTTTAAAGCACAGATGTGAAAATTATTTTCACTGGTCAAACAAAGACAAAATGCTGACAATAATTTGACCAGACAGCAATAAACTAGAAGGTAGAATATCTTATGAAAGTGCAAAAAAATTCATTCCCAGTTTTATTGAGTTGTGTAAATGAGTGTTTAAATGTGTGCACATTCAAATTGGATAATTATCTGCTCTCAGGATTTATTATAAAGATCACATTTGAGATTGATTAAATACACAGAAGCTTCCAGAGATTCCCTGAATAAACAGAGTGGTTTCTACTAGCATATTTTGTTTAGGATCATATCTGCAAAAGGTGTGAAGTGAAAAAGAAACAAAACAACCCAAAGTTGTGAAGATTAGATATCATGGTGAGTGGAGACTGCTGGACTGACTGACAGACTCAATGTTTGTAACGGTTTGACCAGGAAAATGTGTTTATGGGTTTTGTGGTGTATGCTCTGCAATAAAAGTGAAAATATGTCTTTCTTGCTTATCATATGAATACAGTACATCCATAAAATGAGTAAATCCAGCCTTGGCACCATACGTAGTTTTGAATGACATGATAGGTAATTTGAATAAAGAAAGCTGATATAATTTAATGAAAGCTAAGTCTAAGTGATTTTTTTTACTTGTGTGAATTCAGATGTGTGTGAAAACTACACATTATCATAAACTCTTTGCCAAATGTAAAGTCAGACAAAGGATTTAAATGAGAACTCCAAATTGCACATGATTAATTGTACTACATCAAAGCTGCTACACTGTGCAATGGAGCTTGTCCTTGTGCCTTTTTTTAATATTCATGTTTTGGCTTCCTGTACTTACTGAACACAGAGCTCCTCAAAGCAAATCCCCGAGCCTGGTCAAGTCCTCTCACACAGTCCAAAACGACAAATCCAATTTTTGTCAATCATTATAGTTGAACAGAA